GTAACAGCAAGTGTTGAATAAAGGTTTATTTGTTATAAGAAACTGCACAAACTCTGCTGCGCTTCGTAACCCCTTTTATGAGGGTGCATATTAAAAGCAATGACAAGAAGGAGAATGTTCACAATGGTGTATGTTTCCAGTTAACATAACCTGTTGTACTTCTCTCCCTATAGGCTTTTATGCTCCTTTTGTAGTCCTAAAACTGATAGTGCAGCAGCTGCTAGAGCCAGGGCTGCAGAATACTTTCCATTCCCATAGTCTTCTTCAGGGTGATCATAGCTGTCTGCAAATGTGGCCTGAAAAGGGTCTTTTTTCTTTTAGAAAATTAAAAAAAAAAAAAAAAAAAAAAGAGCCGGGTAATAAATAAGTTCTTCATATATGAAAATGTTTCTTTGACTCTTCTTTTGTAACCAGTATTATTTTAGTCAGAGCTTCAAAGGTGAAATTTGGCAGGGGAAATAACCTGCAGTGAAGATCAGGGCCGTTAGTGACTCCAAAGGAAATCAGATGTAGCTGAAAAACTTAGAAGCATTTGAAAAATCATATACCAAGCATGAAGAGTAGATTTCTTTCTACTCCCTGCTGCACCCCAAAAGCCATAAAACACACAGCTGAAAAAGAAATCACCATACCTACCTGCCCAGCTAAACTGCCCAGCATAAAGCTTCTTCTGGTGAAGTACGGTGAGGGCTCCTGGGGGGCTGGGAGAGGGGCAGGGGCTGATCCTGGTCCCTTGCTGCAGCCCGAGTCGCCCTGCAGCACTGGTGCTGGGCTGCAGGCAGGATCCTGGTGCTTCTCAGGTGCACGAGCTCCGATGGACCTAAGGAGCTGCAGAGCCGAGCAAGCCATGCTCAGAGAATCAGGTCCTGAGTGCTTGGAAGTCTTTGAAACCACAGCTGCTTTTTATGCCTTTATTTAAGTAATTTTTTTACCCCTCTCTGTCTCTTCTCTCAAAAATGCTTTCCATTCTTCCCTAGAATTTTCTAGAGTAGATGACTATTTTTAGTAGTTTTGCAGAATTTGCAGCAATTTTGCAGAGTGAAACATTCAGGAGCCAGGAGATGCCAAAGTTAAGGTTTCGTGTGGCACCCCAGGCGTGTGTGAGATCAGTCTCTAATTGTGTCATCACAGACCTTTTCTCCTTTGAATAAATAAATTAGTCTGAGATCCTGGAAACACATGTGTAGCATCTTTTAGCTGTGTGAGTGCCAGCGAGGTCATACTCATGGAAGGTAACCCAAATAACAAATGAAGTCATGTAGGCAATAGAGATGAAGTACTTGACATACCATGAGGGTGTCAGCTCATTTGAGCGTATGTTTCATCTAAGTTCAAAGATAGTCACTTCATAGTCCTCTGTTTTGAACTTCAAACTGCTCCTAGGAAAAGCTGTGCACTCAGCTGGGGGTAAAAACAGCAAAAGTTAGAGCGCAAATATCAAATTGTTGAAATTACCTCCTGGAGAGGAAAGCGTGACATAAAAAGGTGCAAAGCGGTGAAACACCCTATTGAAATCTCTGTATGGGTCTTCCTCTTTGACCTCTAAAACCTGGGGACTTTCCTCCCTTTATCCGTAGGCTTTGTGGGAGCGTACCGTAAGGGTGAGTTTCCAGTGATGTACGTGATAAATGAGGGATGCCGTACGGGAATTCTCTTTCCTCTCATTCCTTGCAGTGGGGGTTTTTGTGGTGAAGTCTATGTGCTTTCTCTTTCTTTCTTTCTTTCTTTCTTCTATTGTTTTAAATGCCTCCTGCCCTCCTTCAAGGAACTTCTCCAGAGATCTTCTCTTCACAGGATGAACAGTGAACTCTCATCTTTCTCTTACAGATTCGCTATATTTCACAGACGCAGGGCTTACCAGCAGAGTATTTGTTAAGTGCAGGGACAAAGACTACGAGGTTTTTCAACAGGGATACAGACTCACCGTATCCTTTGTGGAGGCTGAAGGTAGGAAGGACATTCCCTTGTTTCTTTTACCTTGCTGTTGGTTGGAAGTGAGGAGACATTCAGGTGACCTCAGAGCCTAGGTCTCTGCTTTTTGCAATGCAGCACAGACATTGGGGTGGGTATAGCTCTAAGTAAAACTGCCATCCCCAAAGTCTGCAGCCCTTAGCCCACCTGCTTGGCACTGCTTTGTGGGAAATTTCAGTCCAGAATTGACCTGGAAATCTCCCTCTAAGTAGTCAATGAATTGATGTGTAGTTTAAGTGAAGCATGCCCTGGCAGACTTTGCTCTAATATCTAACACGTTGTGGGGGAAGAAAAAAAGAAAACATTTTAATTCTGACAATCAAATCCGCTAGTAATGCAAGTGAGCCCTGAGTCTCTTGTACCAGCGTGTTTGGCTGCATTCAGTCCCCAAGGAGAGAGGCCAGTGGGCTTCTGGCTGTAAGGATGGGATGCTGAGCCTCATGCTGGGGTGGGTGTAAGAGACCTTTGGGACTCCCACCGTAGTTGGGAGGATCCTCTGAAGTGAACAAGAAGAGATAAATCACCTTGTGACACAAAAGCTGTCATATAACCATAGTGGAGATAGCGTAAATGTTATCTGGTCAGGCAAGAGAGACACAGTGGTCTCTGATGAGGGCAGGATAAGGCACAAGCTGGAAGTAGCACATAACCCGCAGCTGATTGCAGGGCAGTTCTGGTCAATGCCTGTCTCCTGTTTTGAGCAGACGCCAGATGATCATGAGGCAGAGACGGGGATTAAGTCGAAGGAAGCAAGAAAGTATATTTTCAACTGTTTGGATGATATGGCACAGGTAAGAGCATTGGTGAGTAACCAGCAATACTGTCTCACGTGCTTTCAGGCAACGCTAACAAAGGGGAACTACATGATTTCTCTGCGTATCCTATTCTTCTGCCAGCTCCTGAGAAATACCAGGATTATGCCTACCAGATCGGCTTGTTATGTGCTGCTTTGTAGGGGAAACTGCACGTAGGGGTATGTGGGCTCAATGTGGGCTGTAGTAAAGCAGCCTTGGAAAATGGCTAAGTCACATCTGAGTGTCGAAATCCTGCATTTTCTCTTGTCTCTCCAGTGCTCCTCTGTGTGACCACTGGCAAATCATTTACTTCTCTGTGCTTTAATATTTCCCTTTGTAAAACGGTGACACTGGAAATAATCACCGAGGCCGCAGAAGAGTGTGCTCTCTGTAAAACGTGGCTATCTGGGAGAATAGGGAGTACTAATTTACTGTGTCAATTCCATGTGGTTGTGAAAATTAATTCCAGCATAACCACTCCTGCGACTGGAGTTTGTGCTAGCAAACTAGTGCGCAAAACTGGCATAACACTAGCACAAAACTGGAGTTTGTGCTAGCAAAGTCTAGACATTGTAGCATTCACAAGCAAACATGCAGAAATGGAGGACTGAGATCAGGGGAGACTATATTCATGGATGAAATAATAACGGGGGTTTTTTTCCTGGCACCTGATACATGAGTGGGATGTTTCTCATAAACCTACTGACAATTTTTGTTTATTTTATATATTTTTTGCTCACAAGACACATAGTTAAGTATCTGATAGCACAGTCCTTTATATGATAAATATACTGATTATCAGAGCTTGCCTGCTACCACATGGAAGCTGTTCATCTTCAGTGGAGGGTGACTAAGTGTTTCATTAGCCATTGACCCAAGCGAGCTGAACACTTAACAGTCTGTCTAGAGATCTGACATGCACAAGCCAGATGACTAGCCACCGCGGAGTCTGCTGTGTGACTTCAGCAACTACCCCTTTAGACAGGGAGGCTTGCAGGGCATGTGCTCCAATGAGGAGTAAACACGGTTTGCTGGAGACCTGACCATCTGCTCTTTCACTTTAGTGCTCACCCTTGTCCTTTCTCCCTTAGGTGAACATGACAACAGATTTGGAAGGAAGTGATATGTTGGTGGAAAAGGCGGACCGGCGGGAGTTTATAGATCTGTTAAAGAAGATGTTGACGATAGATGCAGATAAGAGAATTACACCCATTGAAACTCTGAACCACCCTTTTGTCACCATGACACACTTGCTTGATTTCCCCCACAGCACACAGTACGTGGCTTTCGTTTCCCTTGGGTTTTGAATTGAGGGGTGAAGTGGAGAGCTGGTTATGGTGGAGGTCAAATGTATCTGAGGGGCATTATTAAGATGCTTAGCCTTAAGTTTTAATGGTTTTCTCGTTAAAAAAAAAAAAAAAAAGAGGATTGCCAGCTCTTAAGGTTGCAAGAATTGTGTTGTAGGTGCTTGGCATTTAAAACACTGCACAGTGTGCTACATTCATTATGTAAATATTCAATAATTACATATGTTTGCATTAAAATGCAGAAGAAATTATGCAATTAGTACTAAAAGTATCAGTATATCTCAACGTAATATAGTCCTGATTGTTACTGCAGTAGTCATCTGCAGTGGGGAGCCGACCCTTCTTCCCAGAACCTTCCCATCTTGCAGGGGTTAGTTTGCGTTTTAAGGGAAGAGCTTTTTCTGCAGCAGGCTGGTTTAGTGGCACAGGCAACAGGACAAGGAGTTCAGTTTTCAGCTTTGTTGTTGCCCGCCTGTGTAACCTTAAACACCACGCTCTGACCTCAGCTGACACATTTGTGGAATGGAGATGGACTCCACTGCCTGATGGAGATGTGAGGAAATGTCATGCCTTCAAGCCTGACTCCCCCTTCTCCTAAGGCTGCGTCACGGAGCGCAGCAGCCTGAAATGCAGGAAGCCTGCACCCAGCACATTGCTCTTGTCCCCTGGGCACTTCACGTAGGGCCAGGCTTCTCAGGTGCAAGTGAAGGCAGACACGTAGCGGGAGTTTTCCAAAGCCTTGAGGACACCTAGCTTTGAACATCCTGCTCTACAGCACTTCGCAGTTTAAAGTGCTTTTGCAGGCATCACCTCATCAGGAGAACAGTTACCAGCACAGCACTGTACTTCATTAGGTGCCATGTGCATGGGTGTTTAAAGGCTGTGAGGAGCTCAGGTACGAAAATAAAGGGGACTGCTTAAAAAGCCGTAGAGTGTGTTTGTGTGGGTGCTGCGGAGCAACAGATTACTGTGTCACCTCTCCTGTATGTGTGCTCTTACCTGCGGTATTTCAAGTTCATTTAAGATAGTTTTCCCTCTGTGAAGGAGTGTAGCTGCCTTTTTGTTACATTTATCACAAGATAAGAGCAACTGCTTACCAGAAGGTAGTGGGTGCACAATCTGTGTAGACGCAGACCTACCCTGCACAGACATCTTTGGGCATTGTTATCTATAAGTAAATAGTAAGTGATAAATGTAATGAAAACAAGATGGGAGATTGTTGTGCTAAACAGAGAGACAGTAAGTTTCATATAAAAACATTCATAAATAAAAAAAGACAGTGTTTTCTAACAGTGCTAGCATCATACACTAAAGTCTTTAATTTGCAACAGTCCTTCTTACTGTGCAACAACCGATTGTGTAAGATAGGAGAGATTTGTGGCATAATGCATTGCCATCAGAAATCTTTCCACTAACGCAACAGACCATAATCGCATCTTCATTTTTGAAGTGCTCACTTGTGGCTGCTCAGGCAAAGCCCCAGAAGGGTTGAAAATATCATTGGGGCCAATAGCAGTGAAAATTTTACCCGAATAAAAATTCAGCATCAGGTCTCTGAATGCTAAATGCTGTGCCAGCCGGGTGCGTAACCCCACGCGGCCCCTCTGCATTGGAAGCAGTGATTGGTAAAGAGAACAATAAGCTGTAACCAGCATGGCAGGTTGATGGAAATTTTGTCTGTGATTGCCTGTGGTTTTGAGAATAGAAATTTCAAAGCCTTGAGAGATACAGGGAGTTGTAATCTCTCTTGAAAGTAAATCAGGCAGCAGAGAAAGTGAAAATATATGGAAGATGTAGCTTCTGGAAGGAGTCTCTGCTCTGCTATGCTTCGAAGAGGCTGCAAGTTTGAGCAGCCCGAGAGGGGCTGTTCTGCTTACTTCCAAGCAAACAGCAAAGCGAGTTTAACTCCCTGTTTCATGTGTTTAACTGCCTGGCTCTTAAATTGTTGTGTACTCCTTCTGTCCTGTTTTGCTCTGTCCCTGCCTTCTTTTTTGTTTTTCCTTTTTTTTTTTTTTTTTTTTTTTAAAAGTGAAGACAGGGAACACAGTATTACATTAGTAGAGATTATACCTTGTTATATAAAACTGTTTGGTAACACAGAGTTTACCATGTACAGAAAATATGCTCTTTCTAGTGCTTTCTGCGTTTTGGAGGGAGAATTATATTCATACCTGACTGGAAAAAGGCAATCCAATAGTCCTCTATATTCATTCGATAAATGTGTTTGATTTTTCTGAATGTTCTGCAACTTACAGGTATTTCATAGTTCTTTAAATGAATGCACATAGTGCGCAGCTATGCACAGTGTCCTGAGCCTGTCTTGTCTGCAGGTGTTTATGGCACAGATCCAGTTATCAAGATATTACCTGTAAAAGAAGAAAGATGACCATGTGAGTAAGAGATTAGACAGGGATAAAAAGATCTAGGTCCTCTTCCTGACCAACCCTAGGGATCTTATGAGCTTGTTTCTTTTGAAGGGACATTTTGTTTCTTAAAAATTGTGCGAGGATGTGTTTACCTCCCCTACCTCTAACAGCTTAGATCGTTACAGAAGAAATCATGCATACAGCTGATTTTTTACAGTTGATTTTCACTGCTTGGATTTTCTATTTTTCTGGGTTGGGATAATGGAAATAAAATAAATGCCTTTATACTTTTTTGAGTTGTGTTTCAGACTCTGAGGTCACATTTGTAAAAACAATTCTGTGGAAGAATTGTGGGAAACCTGTATTGGTTTTTAGACCTTAGAAAAATGAGATTTTATTAAAAATACAGTTTTGCACAAGTTCGCTATGTTGTTATCTCTTAAACCTCTGTATGCCTTGGTATCCCAATTATAAAAATGAAATACCGGCAGTTTCATGTACCAGACACCTAGAGTGCTCTAGCAATGCAGAGAGTATTTCATCTCCTTTACTGGGGATGCAAAATATGATACTTCTCAAAATTTCCATTGCTATATCAATAACATTTAAAGGAAAGTCTGTGTAGAGGAAGAGGCTGTAATCTTTCCCCCCAGAGATCCAGTTCTCAGTCTGAGATAACCTCAGAACCTGATTCCCTTGGGGTGTTGATGAATCTGATTTGGCATAACCTTTTGCGATATGAATCGTCCCATTGACTGCAAGAGGACAGCTCATGCGCTTTAAGATAAGCATCTGCGGAAGTGTTTAGCCAGACAGGGGCAATGTTTTCACCACTTGGCTGGACTCAGCTCTCAATGAACCACTTTTTAAAAGGAACAAGTAAGATTTTTCAGGGGTCTCAGTGACCAAGAACAGTAAAATTCTTCCTTGCAAAAGACTTGTAAAACTACCTTTAGGCTTACGCTGAGGCAGAAAGCGTGAGTTGTCTTTTCCTCTCGGTCTCAATCATCAGAAAAAACAGTATCTATCTATCTTTCTCTCTTTCACTCTTTTAAAATAGCCACTTTGTATTTCTTGCCCTGCCACCTAACGAGCAACCAATTTGCTTGCTTTTTGTGATTTACATTGCAGTGCTGAGACCCATGGGGGCACCCAGGAATCCCAGAGCAGCCGCTCTCATCTTGACATCCATTTGGCCCTCTTCAGTACAGGGTTAATCTGACTCTCACTGGTTAAAATAAAATAGCAAAGGGCTTTACGAGCCTAGGAAGTGCCAAGCCTGCTGCTGAGACCTAAAGCAGGGCCACTGTGATGAACTGTTACCTGTGTTGGTCGGTTGGTTGATTTTTCTCTCTTCCTTGTCGCCCCTTTCCTTACACAGTGTCAAGTCCTGCTTCCAGAACATGGAGATTTGCAAGCGGCGGGTGAATATGTATGACACAGTGAACCAGAGCAAGACGCCATTCATCACCCATGTAGCCCCGAGCACATCGACCAACTTGACCATGACTTTTAACAACCAGCTGAACACAGTCCACAACCAGGTAAGGGCATCGATCAGAAGCAGCCAGTGCTTGAAACGTTTCCATCAGTAGGGTCTAGAAGGTGAAAAGCAAAGTAGCATCCTATTTAACATGCTTGTAAAAAGATGGTACTTTTTTACTCTCCTTCCTCTGCTCTTTCTCATTCTCTTTTCTTCAGGCAAGCGGTAATCTTGTGACATTTTGTGCGATGGTGAAATGTTGCCCTCATTGTTTATGTTGTTGTCGGGGGTGATAAATCCTGCTTACCTGGGAAGTTGCTATGGGGAAAAGCTCATTAAGTCCCTTAATGCAGCAAGCAGGACTGCGTTCCCTGGGTCAGGCAGAAGTATTTGTGACCTTATTCACTTCTTCAGATGGAAGTAAAAAGAATTTAAACCCTTCTGTAACAGACACAGCACTGTAACCGATCAACAGGAAGGAAGAGTTTAGTGGTAATGTTTATTCTTATCTCTCATTGGTTTTACTCCAGGTGCTACAGTTGATGTGGGGACCCTATGCACATACCCCCACTCCGAACGCATTGCACTCTACATTGGTGGGCTCTGGCTTTGTAATCATGCTTTGTACTCTTGTATTAGTTTTACATGCCCCAGTGTTGGGGGGTGCTGTGCTGACAAATTTTATATAACTAGCAGGCTAAGTTGTTTACTGCGGTACTGTATTACAACAGTGAAAGGAAACTCTCCAGGGACAGCACTCTAGGAGACTGAAGCTCAAGAAATAGCTACTGTCTTTTAAGCCTATTGGGAACAGGCTGCTCAAGATTCACTCTAGAGATTGCAGGTGGCATTGCGGAAATGGTGCTTGGAAAGCAAGGGAGCAAAAGGAGTCTGTGTAGATGTACAGGGTGTTCCTGTATCATTCAGAAAACCAGACTTCATGACTCAGTTATTGATACATGTGATCACAGAAGGTCTTTTGGAACAATTCATTAAGCAGATGCAGAGAGAGATAGGTCATGGCTTGGTGTGATAGGGTATTAGTTACAAACACTGGTTCCCTTTCTTGGCTATTTCTGTGATGCTGACTAAAGAAATGCTTGCTACATGCTCCCCTAGGCCCCAGCTGCAGGGCAGAGACACCATTTGTACCACAATTGCTAGTAGGAAATGCAGACTTGCTTTCGTTTCCTCACAACTCACTTGATGTTAAGATCAGTTGTTGGCTGAGGAGGTCCGTGGTAATCTCTGAATTCTCATAAGGGGTGTGTGTTGTGAGCAGAACCGGTATCTCCAGTGTTTCTAGAAGAAGTGGTAGAAACATTTCCAGGAAGGGTGTTTTAATTTGAACAAGCTCTAAACCTTTCACTGTTCTCTTCAATATACCACTCATCTTGGCTCTCTGGTGCTGCCTGTCTCTGCAAAATATCTGGGGATTGCCTCCTTCCAGTTATGACTCCTGAGATTAGGAGTGTGGGAGCTGTTGTGGTTGCTGCTCGGTGTGTTGCACAGGGGAACAGATTACACTTCTCTGCCTCTGCACAGAGAGGGGAGGAGGAGGAGGAGAAAGAAATGTTTTGCCGTTGCATCCCTCGTGGCTGTGGTTGTGGCTGTGGCAGTGCAGCATGGGTACCCTTCCCGGGCCCAGTGGCAACCAGGGCAGTGCAAAATGCTGAACCTGCTGCTTCCTGCAGCCTTGACCAAAGCCTCATCCTGGTTTCATACATTCACCATGAGAAAGTGTTGTCTCACCTATCTCCAGCAGTGATGCTGGTGCGTTTAGATGGAGAGGGAAGGTGGGCTCCGGTCTGGTAAAGCCTAGTTGCCTAGACATGAATGCTAAGGGCATATTTTTATAGAGCAGTGGCAGAGCTGTTTAGGGTTGTTTGTCTGCAACTGTTACAGATTCAGTCCAAATAAAAA